CAGGGACCCACACGGTGTTAACCAGCAGGGAACCCACACTGGGGGCGGTATATCCCAAGCAGGAACCCCCCCACGGTATATACACCAGCAGGGAACCCACACTGGTGTATACACCAGCAGGGAACCCACACTGGTGTATACACCAGCAGGGAACCCACACTGGTATATACACCAGCAGGGAACCCACACTGGTGTATACACCAGCAGGGAACCCACACTGGTGTATACACCAGCAGGGAACCCACACTGGTATATACACCAGCAGGGAAAACCCCCACTGGTATATACACCAGCAGGGAACCCACACTGGGTTATACACCAGCAGGGAACCCACACTGGGATATTTCACCAGCAGGGAACCCACACTGGTGTATACACCAGCAGGAACCCACACTGGTGTATACCCAGCAGGGAACCCACCCCTGGTTATATACCAGCAGGGAACCCACACTGGTATATACAAACCCGCAGGAACCCACACTGGTTATACACCAGCAGGGAACCCACACTGGTGTTTTACACCAGCAGGGAAAACCCCACTGGTATATACACCAGCAGGGAACCCACACTGGTGTATAACACCAGCAGGGAACCCACACTGGTGTATACACCAGCAGGGGAACCCACACTGGTATATACACCAGCAGGGAACCCACACTGGTGTATACACCAGCAGGGAACCCACACTGGTGTATACACCAGCAGGGAACCCACACTGGTATATACACCAGCAGGGAACCCACACTGGGGGTAAAACACCAGCAGGGAACCCACACTGGTGTATACACCAGCAGGGAACCCACACTGGTTATACACCAGCAGGGAACCCACACTGGTGTATACCCAGCAGGAACCCCCACTGGATATACACCAGCAGGGAACCCACACTGGTGTATACACCAGCAGGGAACCCACACTGGTGTATACACCAGCAGGGGAAACCCACACTGGTATATACACCAGCAGGAACCCACATGGTTATACACCAGCAGGGAACCCACACTGGTGTATACACCAGCAGGGAACCCACACTTGTGTATACACCAGCAGGAACCCACACGGTAATACACCAGCAGGGAACCCACACTGGTGTATTTCACCAGCAGGGAACCCCACTGGTATATACACCAGCAGGGAACCCACACTGGTTATACACCGCAGGGAACCCACACTGGTATATACACCAGCAGGGAACCCACACGGTGTATACACCAGCAGGGAACCCACACTGGTGTTAAAAACACCACAGGGAACCCACACTGGTGTATACACCAGCAGGGAACCCACACTGGTGTATACACCCAGGGAACCCACACTGGTGTATACACCAGCGGAACCCACACTGGATTATACACCAGCAGGGAACCCACACTGGTGTATACACCAGCAGGGAACCCACACGGTGTATACACCAGCAGGGAACCCACACTGGTGTATACACCAGCAGGGAAACCCACACTGGTGTATACACCAGCAGGGAACCCACACTGGTATATACACCAGCAGGAACCCACACTGGTGTATATACCAGCAGGGAACCCACACTGGTATATACACCAGCCAGGGAACCCACTTGATCACCAGCAGGGAACCCACACGGGTAAACACCAGCAGGGAACCCACACTGGTATATACACCAGCAGGAACCCACACTGGTGTATACACCAGCAGGGAAACCCACACTGGGGTATACACCACAGGGGAAACCCCCACTGTGTAACACCACAGGGAACCCACACTGTTGTATACACCAGCAGGGAAACCCACAAATGTGTATACACCAGCAGGAACCCACACGGTGTATAACCACAGGGAACCCACACTGGTGTAAACACCAGCAGGGAACCACACTGGTTATACACACAGGGGAAACCCCCACTGGTGTATACACCAGCAGGGAACCCACACTGGTAGAAAACACCACAGGGGGAACCCACACTGGTAAATACACCAGCAGGGAACCCACACCTGGTTTTATATAACCAGCAGGGAACCCACACTGGTATATACCCAGCAGGGAACCCACACTGGTGATACACCAGCAGAACCCACACTGGTTTTATACACCACAGGGAAACCCCCCACGGTATATACCACCGGCAAGAACCCACACTGGTGTATACACCAGCAGGAACCCACACTGGGTATACACCACAGGGAACCCACACTGTGATACACCAGCAGGGAACCCAAACTGGTATTCACCCAGGGAACCCACACTGTGTATACACCAGCAAGGAACCCACACTGGTGTATACACCCCAGGGAACCCACACTTATTACCCAGCAGGGAAACCCCCACTGGTGAACACTCAGAGGACCCACACGTAAAAAATACACCACAAAGGGAAACCCACACTGGTGTTAACCCAGCAGGGAACCCACACTGGTGTATACACCAGCAGGGGAAACCCAAAACTGGTATATACACCACAGGAACCCACACCCGGGTATACACCACCCGGGAACCCCACTGGTGTATACACCAGCAGGAACCCCCACTGGTGTATACATCACAGGAACCCACACTGGTATAAAACACCAGCAGGGACCCCACACTGGTGTATACACTAACTAGCGTGGAATCACTTGATATACACCATGTGGAATTTATCGTTGGGATACATTTTCTTAAATAATTTTTTATTTATGATCGAGAAGGCATTTTTTATTCACGTCTGGGATACAATAATACTTAAACTTAATACTGTTGGTGTATTTCAATTTTTTATGGTTGAAATTACGCACCCTTGCAATTGCAGACCTTCACACTAATATAATGATAATTTACATTTGGTCAAATCGTACACAAAAAATGTAGGGAACTCCTTCATTTTTTTTTTATATTCGCCGGTATTCTCCCGCCCGGTCTTTTTCCCAAATAGTGGTGACCCGGCCTGCTCCCTTCTGGGGAGGGCTCGACATTTAAAATCATTCTTACCAACACTTGTTCAGTCGCTGCGTGATTAGAAGGTTATAGGTACGGGTACACATAAATACAGTTACCCAAATTATCATAACAGAATTGGTAATTACCTTTGGGTGAACCCAAAATGTGTAGATTAACCTAGATGACCCAAAAATTCAAACAAAGTGATATATCCAATGGGTCCTTGATTTATATTGGTCCTTGTATTTTATAAAATGGGGTCCTTGTATTTATATTGGGGGGCCCTTTTTTTTAATTGGGGCCCTTTTATTTTTTATTTTTTTTTTTTTTAAAATTGGGCCCCTTTATTAATTTTCTGAAAAATTTTTTTTTTTTTGGGTCCTTTTTTAAAAAATTTTTTCCCTTTTTTAAGGGGCCTTTTTTAAAGGCCCCGTAAATTTTATTTCCCGTTTTTTTGGGGGTTTTTTTTTTTTGGGGGCCCCCCCATTTTTTGGGGTCCTTATTTTCAGGGGCCTTTTTTTATTGGGTCCTTTTTTTCCATTGGGTTCTTGTTTTTCCTTTTGGGAAATTTCCCCCTTTGGGTCCCCATTGGGCCCCTTGTATTTCCTTGGGCCCATATTTCCTTGGGGTCCTTGTTTTCCATTGAGCCGTATTTCCTTTGGAGTCCTTTATTTCCTTGGGGCCCCTTGATTTCCTTGAATTTTTTCCCATTGGAGTCCTTGTTTTTTCATTGGGTCCTTGTTTTCCGGGGTTGGGTTTTTTTGGGCCCTTGTTTCCATGGGTCCTTGTTTTTTCATTGGGGCCTTGTATTTCCTTTGGGGGTCCGTATTTCCTTTGGGGTCCTGTATTTCCATTGGGGTCCTTGATTTCCTTGGGGCCCCTTGTTTTTTCCATTGGGGCCTTGTATTTCCATTGGGGCCCTTTTGTATTTCCTTGGGGTCCGGGTATTTCCCTTTGGGGGGCTTGTATTTTCCATTGAGGCCCTTGTATTTCCATTGGGGCCCTTTGTATTTCCATTGGGGTCCTTGTATTTCCATTGCTTGAAAAAGGTATCCCTTACCCCGTAAGCCCACCCCTCTCTACCTCAGGGATCCTAAAAAAGTTCCCCTTACCCCATAAGCCTGTACTGGGTATCCAGAAGGAATCCTGTTTCCCTAAGTCCAATCCTCTCTACCCCAAAATGATCCGGAAATGGATCCTTGTATTCAGTAAGTGCCCCTTCCACCCCTATGTCAGAGCAAGAATCCCCTTATCCGATAAACGCTCTAAGTGAACCCAGGGAAAAGGGATTCCCGGGTGACTTTTAAAAAGCTCCCCTTTGACTCAAAATCATAACATTTCTCTCTCCTATGTGCGGGGGTTTTTTGTGAATTGTTCCAGTCCGATATTTTACCTTTTTTTTCTTTCTTTTTCCCCTATCCCATAATCTCCCTTCTCTACCCCAGTGACGCAAAAACGTATTAGGTATTCAATAAGCTCCCACCTCAAACCGAAAATTGGATCTAGCTTGCCCCCTACGGGAAAAAACTTGGGAGGAAAAACAAGAAAAAAAGGTCACAGGTAATCCAGTGATAGTGCTTTGGGGTGCGCCACTCCGGTGCGCGTCTCTCAGTGTGTTATTGACTAGTGAGGGTTGGGGGTTTTCGCGCTACCGCACCGTGACTCCTTTTTCTCCCCTCTACCCCGCAATCAGTGGTGTGTAATGAGCTTTTTTTTCACAGTTTCCCGAAACTGGGGAAACAAGTGAAACGAGGCAAGACCCGTAATTTCGGGGCCAAAACGTGTGTCACCTCTGAAAACCATTAAAAATTTTCTCACGTACCCAATATAACGATTTGGCATTTTTATATATTTCTGTATTCATTCCTTTAAATACCCCTCGGGGGAGAGAGGAGGAAAAAAATTTTAAATACCTTTTGTTAGCTGTGTTTTAAAACTTATTTTTTCGTTTATGAAATTAATGTATTTTCACGGAAAAGGAAAAAATAATTTTAGAATTAAAGGAAAAGAAGACTACGTTTTCTCCAAAAAAAAAAAAAATGTTAGCTTTGTCGAATTTTTTAAATATTTTTTTTCCAAAACCAGCTTACAAACTGAGGCCTTCATGATAAAATAAAAAAATTTTCTTTAGGAAAGACAATTAACAAGAATAATTATTGGATTTGTGTTGGAAAAGAAAATGTAATTCACCTGAAAGACAAAATGCGCACTGAACAAACTATATTTGTGTTAAAGAAAAAAGTGCATTGGTGCTGAAAAAAGTGTATTGGTGCTGAAAAAAGTGTATTGGTGCTGAAAAAAGTGTATTGGCCTCGAAGAAGAGTTTTTTTTGGATTAAAGAAAACAATGCTTTTGCATTAGAGTAAAAATTGGAAATATTTTACCACCGAAGAAGGAAAAGCGAAGAAAGCGGCTTCTGTCTCTTTGATAATGAAGTCTCTGAAAATATATATATATGCTCCTTCTCTATTTCTGCTTCTCTGTGTGTGTATTGTTTCGTTCCAGTGGTATCTTGAGTTTGTAATTACCAGGTAATCCAGGCTGAGTGAGCATGAGCAACCTGAGAGCACAGGTCCTGGCCGTGGTGCTCAGCCTCGTCGTGTTCACTCTGTGCTTCTGTTTTATATACAATGGCACAGAGAGCTCCCTCCTCAGTAAACCCATCTTTCAAACCCTCACTAACTCACTGCCAGCGGCAGTGTGGGGGACACGACGCCAGGAGACGGTAGAGGGAAGAGGTGAGGATACTGACCAGGCAAGCGTTGAGGAACAGCACCAGGCAAGTGGCGATGACAAGGACCAGGCAAGTGGCGAGGACAATGATCAGGCAAGTGGCGATGACAAGGACCAGGCAAGTGGCGAGGACAATGATCAGGCAAGTGGCGAGGACAATGATCAGGCAAGTGGCGAGGACAAGGATCAGGCAAGTGGCGAGGACAAGGACCTGGCAAGTGGCAAGGACAAGGACCTGGCAAGTGGCAAGGACAAGGACCTGGCAGCTGGCTTGGACAAGGACCAGGCAAGTGGCGAGGACAAAGACCTGGCAAGTGGTGAGGACAAGGACCAGGCAAGTGGCGAGGACAAGGACCAGGCAAGAGATAAGGACAGGAAACAAGAACAGAAACCAGGCAAGAAAGGAAACGAGAACAGGAACCAGGCAAGGGGTGAGGACAAGAAAAAGGCGAGAGGAAAAGATAACAGGAAGCAAGCAAGAGGTGACGACAATAAAAAGATGAGAGGAAACAAGAACAGGAACCAGTCGAGAGACGAGGGCAAGGTGCAGAGGAGAGGAGACGAGGACAAAAACAAGGCAAGAGGTAAAGACAAGAACCAGGCGAGAGGTGAAGACAAGGACCAGGCGAGAGGTGAAGACAAGGACCAGGCGAGAGGTGAAGACAAGGAACAAGTGAGAGTACACGAGGACAAAGCTGGGTCCAGCAAGACCTATGGACAACTGCATACACACACACCTGCTGAGAACCAGACCTGGAAAATTATATTATTCTGGGACCAGTGGTTCGGGGGCGACTGGTCCAACAGGTGAGTGTGAAGAAGGGGGAGGAGAGGAGAGAGAAGGGGGGTTTTGCAGGGGATGTGGCACAAATATAAAAGATACAGACTGATAGAGAAATATGAGTAAATCAGGAAACTTAAAAGGGTTGAACACTCAAGAAATGGGTAGAGACAGAGGGAGACGGACGATAAATTGGGCGAGCAGGGAAAATATTAATAGCCATAAAGAATAATAGGAGAGAAATAGCTTCAGTGAGAGGATGACGAGTGTGATTAGATGTGTATTCCTTAATGTACACAACTATACGAAGTAATTTTAGAAAATGAAATAACCAATATTTCTTATTAACAATATAACAACTCACAATTACTGGACCAATATGATGTAGTCATGGATGTACTGGATGGCAAACAAGAAGCACATGTAGTATACACAGACTTGCGAAAGCCTTCGACAAGTGCGATCATGGTGTAACAACACACAAAATGCGTGACAAAGGAGTAACAGGAAAAGTGGGTATGTGGATCTATAACTCCCTACCCAATAGAACACGAAAGAGTAATGGTAAACAGAGTACAGTCAGAGGCGGCTACGGTGAAAAGCTCTGTTCTACAATGTACGATACTCGCCCCCATCCTTTTTCTGAAATCTGACACAGACAGAGATATAAGCCACAGCACCGTGTCCTCCTTTGCGGATGACACCCGAATTTGCATGAGTGTCATCCATGGAAGACACTGCAAATCTCCAAGTGGACATTACTCAAGTTTTAAAAGGTTTAAAAACACCCAAAATTTAATTCAGTGAGGAAAAATTCCTTTGCATGGAAAAAAATCGGGAATAAAAACTGGGTCGGGGGATAAAAAAAAATTTCCAAAAACCCCAAATAAGAGCAAAAACTAAGGGGAAAGGGGCTGGGAGTGATAAAAGTCCCAAAAATTTTCACTTTCAAAGATCACACCCAATGTATCTCCACATTCTATTTAAAATGATAGGATGGAAAATGAAAAACCTTTTAAAATCTAGGGAGGCAAGCCCCCAAAGAAAGAACCTTTTCACATCACCTGTCCCCCCCACTAGGCCCGGAGGGAAATGGGTGTTAAAATTTAAAGGCCCCTTTCAAGGCAACCTTTTTTGATTATACTAGAAAAATGTTTTTAAATTCCCAGTATAAATTTTTACTGCACGTATAAGTAAAAAAAAAACGGGAAAAAAAAATTAATGGGAAAAGGGTGAAGTCCCCCGATTTTTACCCCCCGGAATGTGGCGAAAAAAAAGATATAAAGATTAAAAATTTACACTTGGAAAAACCGAGGGAAAATTTGTTTTCCCCAAAACTGCACACGGAAATCCCTCCCTACGAAAGCAAAAAAATCGGCAGGTGAATTTCCAAAAACCCCCGTAATTTAAAAGTAAAGGGTTCCCTTTTAGTGGGACTAGAGACAAAAACAATAAGTTCATTTGGGCCCCAAACTTCAAAATGCCCCCCCAGCATACATAAGAGAATTTAAACCCGCCCAAACCCCTGGCTGTCCCTTTAAGAGGGAGGGTGGACAGGACCCAAAGGTTTTTTACCTGACAAACCGGGCCCTTTGGGTTTGTATGTCCCCAAATTATGTGGGGGGGCCAAACAGTAACAGCCCGATTGATCATGCCCCGATCCCCCGCAAAAGGGCCCGGTCAAAGGACCCGGTTTTCCCCTGGGCGTTTTACACCCGGGGAAAACCCCCCCTTATACTCTGGTAAGTCAATGGGGTCTAACAAAAACCCCTGAGACCCTCTCAATCTTTTTTTTGCCTAAAGCTCACAGGAATGAGGTGCCGGGTGCACAATAAAAGTAATCGCTCAGGCGACAAAAACTTTTCCCGTTTAATTTGGGGGCTGGGAGCTGTGTTGGGATGAAGTCATGTAGTTAGTGCAGTGGGGGGAGAGTTGTTTGTTTTTAGTGTAAATGAGTAAGAGTTTTTCCCGTTGGTTTAGTGTTTTTTTTTAGAAACCAAAACAACCGTCCCCCCGGGAACGGCCCTCCCTACATTTTTTTCCCCCGAATAAACCCAGGGTTGGGGGTGGTTTCGTGTGGGGTTTGGGGGTCCTTTTTGCGTTGGGGGTGCGTGGGTTGTGGGGGGTGGGTGTGTTTTGGGGGTGTTTGTGTGTGTGTGTGGGGGTTTTGGGGGTGTGTGTACTCCCTTAAATTTTGGGTTTTCAGGGGGTTTGAGACCAGCTTTCCCGGCCCCCCCCTCTTTTACTGAAACGCTAAATAGGTCATCTCTCTGCTTTCCCGGGGCTGTATCCCTGCCCTTCTTTTAAAAAAATGTTTTGGGTTCCCCGCCTCCATACTTCACTTGCAGCTTTTTCCCCTTCCCGACAACTTTTAAGACTGAAGAATACTTCCTAAATTCCCTTTTGATTTGTTTTGAGTCCTTTTTCCCCTTTCCCGTTGTGGGCCCCCTTTTCCCTGTGGGCCCCCCTGGAAAAATCCTTCCCCTGTCCCCCCTTGTCTATTTTCCCCCCATATCTTGTAGTCTTTTTCATGTCTCCCCCCGACCCTTTTTTGTCCTCCAGTGTTCCCCTCAGGGCCCCATTTCCCCCAAAACCCTTTTCCCCGACGGGCTTCCCCCGAAACTCTGGGACTAGCCTTGTTGCAAACCTTTGAATTTCTCTAAATTTTTTGAAAGTGCTTGACCAGGTGTGGGTTTCCCCGGGGGTGGTGCCCGCATACTCCCTTTTGGGGGCCAACATCCCCAATGTAAAAGTGTTTTTGAACGGGTTTTTCCCTTTTTTAAGGATCGGGAAAGTATTCTAGGTTTTTGCCAGGGGGCCCCCTAAAGCTGCCCGCAGTTTTTTTTGGTTTTTATGTTTTGCCCCCCCCCGGTGATTTGTCGGTGTTTTTTGGTCACCCCAAGGGCCCTTTTTCCCCCGATTTAGGTTTTGAAGTCTTTTTTTCCACCCAGCCTAAAATCTGTCTGGGTCCTTCTTTGCCCCTCCCAAAATCTTCAGAGTTTGAATTTTTGGGTGGTTTTAATTTTGAGAAGCCCAGGTTTTTTTGGGGCCACAAAGTTTCCCGCCTGTCCCCCGGTCCCCCTTTGCAGTCCCCGCCTCATCCTTTATCCCATTTTTAAATTTTTCCTTTTCAACTTACATCACTGCAAACAGGGACATTCAGAGTCAAATTTCCCTTCCCATTTCCGTTTTCACTATATCAAAAATAAACACTGGTCCCCAGAACTGAAAACCCCCGTGGGGGCCCCGCCGTAAAAGGCGCCCCCCCTGTGATACCCCTTTCCCCCGTCCCCTGACCCGTTTTTCCCGCCCCCTGTCAGGTTTTCCCCCGATCCATTGCAGTTTCCCTCCCGGGTTTCCCTGCGCCTGATCCCCCCACTTCTGCCCTAAAACTCTTGGGGGGAATGGGGGTTTAAAGGCCTTCCTGCAAATCCCAGGAAAACGCAATCACCCACCCCTCCCCTTCGTGTCTAAATTTTTGTTACCCTTTTCCCCTAAAAAATCCCCCGAGGTTTTTTGATACACGATTTTGGGCCTTCCATGAACCCTGCCTTTGGGTTTTTATTTTTTTAATCTTGTTTCCTTTTCCCCGGTGTTCGACCACTCCCCCCCTGTAATTTTTTCCATGAAATTTGCACACAATTTAAAAACAGAAAACACAGGTTCCCCGTAGTTTTTGGCCTGTTTCGGGTTTTCCTTTTTTAAATATGGGGGGCTACATTTGCTTTTTTTTTCCATTTCTCAGGTAGTTTCCCTTTTTTTAAGGGATGTGTTTAAGTTTTTGGTTTTTGGGGCAAAGCACAGCATCCTGCTCCTTCTCTAAGGACCCTGGGGAAATGTTTTCCCGGGCCCAAACGCCTTTTAGGTGTCAAGGTCACTTAGGGGCTTCCTTTTACCTCCTCCTCGGTTGTTTGTAAAGTCATCCAACACTTGGGGTTTTGGGATATTCCCTTTGATGTTTTCCCCTTTTGTGGGTGTCTTTTTCCCAAAAGCCCCTTCCCCGTCCCCCTACTATAAAAACTTTCCCCCAAAAACTCCTGTTTTAGCTCCTCACATACCTCCGATCATTTTTTTTTGAGTTCTCCACCTTCCCGTCCTTAAACTGATCACCTGGTCTTTGACTGTTGTCTTCCTCCTGATGTGGCTATACAACAGTTTCAGGTCAGTTTTGATTCTCGATGCTATGCATTTTCATACTGTCGCTGGGCCTCCCCCCTTACCCATGCAACTCATTCCTGGCTCTGCGACTGATCTCCCTTTTTCGTGTGTTCTCTGCCCTTTTTGTACTGTTTCCAAATTTTCTATTGCACTTTTTTTTTGCCCTCCTTACAAACCCCGGGGACTGTTGCCCTGGGAATAAACCTTCCAATGCCTCTTGCATTTTGTTGTTACATATTCCATCATTTCATTTACTGGGTTTTTTTTGGCCAGTTCTCTGTCCCACTGGACCTCCCACAGGAAGTTCTTCAACCCTATGTAGTCCCCTCTTTTATAGTCAGGCTTTTCCCATTCAACTCCTGTTATTCTCTCCACTTGCAGCTCTACTATGTATTCAAAGCACAGAACCACGTGGTCTCTTTGTAGCCCTGCCTGATCCTCATCCGATTTGATTCTTCTCATTAACTCCACATCATCTGCAAACAAGGACACTTCTGAGTCTATCCCTTCCGTTATGTCGTTCACATATACCAAGAACAGCACAGGTCCTAGGACTGACCCCTGTGGAACCCCGCTTGTCACAGGCGCCCACTCTGACACCTCGTCACGTACCATGACTCGTTGTTGCCTCCCTGTCAGGTATTCTCTGATCCATTGCAGTGCCTTTCCTGTTATGTGTGCCTAATCCTCTAGCTTTTGCAGTAACCTCTTGTGAGGAACTGTGTCGAAGGCCTTCTTGCAGTCCAAAAAAATGCAGTCGATCCACCCCTCTCTCTCTTGTCTTACTTCTGTCACCTTGTCATAAAACTCTAGTAGGTTTGTGACACAGGATTTCCTTCCCTGAAACCGTGCTGGTTGTCAATTATAC